AAACACAACTATCCATTGTCTTTTTTAATTCTAAAATAAATTTAAATTATTTTAAATAAATATTATAAATAAATAATAATATAAAAAAACCTTTCGCACACACACAAAATTTCAATAGTTGGACATAATGGATCAACAAAAGCCGTCAATTTTATAGATGGTGAACCAACAAAATTAATGCATTTAAGGGTATTACGCATGGTAAAGGGCTTGTAGCTAAAGTAGTTAAGAATATTTATCAATACATTCTTAGGTCCTAAGTTTGACTCTCATTTTCTCAAATATCGCTTGTATTAAATAAAAAAAATAAAAATAAGTGTTGCGGACGGAGTTGTCATATAAGACAAATGGTTCAAATATTTATTATCTACATTTATAAAGCAAAAGGCAGAGAATGATGAAACATTCAAAATACTAGAAAATACCCTTGGTTAATTCAAATATTAATATTGAAATTATTAATTAAATGAGAATAATATGGTAAATTCACATTTTTATATTAAAAAATTAAAATTAAAAACAAAATCAAATAGGTCCTACTTTAATGGAACATAACTGTCCATGCTATCTTTTCTTAATTCTAAAAATAAAATAAAAAATAAAAAATAAAACCAATTGGCACATGCATGAAGGGGCTAGTATGATAATTATGATGATTGAAAAAAAAAAATTTGTCCAAGATAATTTATAAGCAAATAAAAATAGTATAAGTACCTCCAATGCTATCACATTCACTGTCAAATAAAAGTCAATAACCTTGAGCTTGTGGCTCCCGCCAAATTTGCACTCCCATTATCCCATATGCCCATGCTCTACGCATTCATTAAGTCCCATGTCATTCTCATTTACCTCTCCATGCTCACCCAATTTATATCACATCTAGAGACTAGACCTAATTTTTCCTTTTTCTTTCACGTAAGTATAAGGTTTATCTAAAATTTAGGAATGACATGACATCTTTCACGAAAAACAGGTTTTGCATTTCCAAATATGAAGGTGGGTTTCTTGTTATAGTTATCGTGTTTGAACTTCAATGGCACGTGTACTTACATTACAAATAATAAGAAAGAAGAAGAGAAATAATTTTCATTCATGACTTTTTTGAAAACGAAATCTTGTTGATATTCTCGAATAACATGAAAAAAAATTGTCAAAACCAATTTAAAATGAGGGAAACTTACTTGTTCAAAATAGCAAAAAAATGAATTGAGCTGAATTATAAATAAATCACATACTGGCACATCATTTGTTCAAAATAGCAAAAGACAGAGAATGGTGAAACATTCAAAATACCATAAAATGCCCTTAGTTAATTCAAACATTAAGAATTGAAATTATTAATTAAATGAGGATAGTATGGTAAAGTCACATTTGTTATATTTAAAAAATTAAAAACAAAATAAGATAATAGGTCATACTTTTATGGAACATAACTACCCATATTATTTTTTCTTAATTCTAAAAATAAAATTAAAAATTAAAAAGAATTAAAAAGATTGTCGTTTTCCACACACACACAAATTCAATAGTGGGACATAATGGATCAACAAAAGCCGTCGATTTTATAGAAGGTGAACCAACAAAATTAATGCATTCAAGGGTATTACGCATGGTAAAGCGCTTGTAGCAAAAGTAGTTAAGAATATTTATCCATACATTCTTAGGTCCTAAGTTCGACTCTCATTTTCTCAAATATCGCTTGTATTAAATTAAAAAATTAAAAAAAGTGTTGCGGACGGAGTTGTCATATTATGGTTTGATAGGATGATTTTTTGGTTATATGAATGTGACTCTTCAAATTTGATTGGCTTGACATGTCTGCAGAGTTGATTCATCAACTGTATGAATCATTCCGACGCTCATTACTTCAAACATGGCGGCTTCCAAAATTTCTCTTTGCTTCCCAAACAATGCACAACAACACAAGTTTTTTATTTTTCTAACAAAAAATATTCCAATTTAATCTTGTAATATACAATATTTTATGCATTTTTTTGGTTACTGGTTGAACATGAGACCTCGTTCAATTAAATGGAGACAGATATCACTAGATCAACCAAAGACTAGTTGATACAAAGATCTTAAAAGAAGGATATTCCATATATTATCTAACTTTTGGAAACCTTTTGTTTGTGTTTTTCTCTTTTCAAGGGAAAAATAAGTAAGGTTTTTTAGGTTTTAGACATAAAAAAAATTTCACTTTTGGAAAATGTATTGGATTCCTTAAGAAATCTAAAAATAAATAAGGGCATTTTTGTCCATTTTTGCTTCTTTTAAATTTTTTCTCTCTCCTTTTGCTTTTTCTAAAATGTCCCAAATAAGTAACAAAAATTAACTCATGCTATCAAAATTTACCTGTTATAGTTCATTCTTGCAAATCTGTTTATATATAGAAACTATATAGCAAAATATATTGCAAAATTAAGGCCAAATCATTCTAGCTCAACCCTTGAGTTAAGACCAAATCATTATTTTCTCACAGATCCAAAAATAAATTCCTATGTTTAGAAAGTAATAAGTTTTATGTTACTCCAGTTAGGATTAGACTAGGTTTCGATTCTCTTTCTTTATTAACAAAAAAAAAAAAATTATTAGATCAAACGGACAAAAAGACTACAAAGAAAAGAGAATCATCCCAATAGCAGTACGGTAAAATAAACCTTTACATAATTACTCTGAGTTGACTTTCAATCGAAAATAAAAATTACCCCTTTACAATTGACTGTCAATTTCTGATAATTAGTTGGATGTCAATCCGGATGCTAGTTAAATATGTACATTTAAGCCATAATCTTGCCCAAATTAAGAAACATGAGAGACAGATTTGAACACCATACATGTTGAGTCAATTGGAATCTGTTTCTCTTTGGAAAATTCTTTTTAGTGCACAGTAAAGGATAAAGAGTAAAACAAACCGCCTTCACCAGAATGACGCATACATATATGGATTTTCATGAGTTGGTTGTTTATGCAATTCTTCTAGCTCAACCCTCAAATTAAGACCAAGTCGTCATTTGTATCCTTTTTCTCTCCCAAATCCAAAAAAATCAATCCAATGGTCAGACATAAAGACTCCATGATTCTTACCATGTTCAATTGCTCATTCTCAGTCAATTATTTATTTGTATGATTTCCTCTGAAGATTCTGAAAATGAATGCATTAGAAGGTTTCATATAATAACATAGTTGCCTTTATGAATGGGAACGTCAACCTATTAACAATTCCTTTTCTTCTTCAACAATTCATTTCTTACAACTTTTTCCTCTCTCTTTGTGTCTTAGAATACTAGGGATGAACTAATCATTCTCTCTCTCTCTCTCTCTCTCTCTCTCTCTCTCTCTCTCTAAGAATTAAAAAGATTGTCGTTTTCCACACACACACAAATTCAATAGTGGGACATAATGGATCAACAAAAGCCGTCGATTTTATAGAAGGTGAACCAACAAAATTAATGCATTCAAGGGTATTACGCATGGTAAAGCGCTTGTAGCAAAAGTAGTTAAGAATATTTATCCATACATTCTTAGGTCCTAAGTTCGACTCTCATTTTCTCAAATATCGCTTGTATTAAATTAAAAAATTAAAAAAAGTGTTGCGGACGGAGTTGTCATATTATGGTTTGATAGGATGATTTTTTGGTTATATGAATGTGACTCTTCAAATTTGATTGGCTTGACATGTCTGCAGAGTTGATTCATCAACTGTATGAATCATTCCGACGCTCATTACTTCAAACATGGCGGCTTCCAAAATTTCTCTTTGCTTCCCAAACAATGCACAACAACACAAGTTTTTTATTTTTCTAACAAAAAATATTCCAATTTAATCTTGTAATATACAATATTTTATGCATTTTTTTGGTTACTGGTTGAACATGAGACCTCGTTCAATTAAATGGAGACAGATATCACTAGATCAACCAAAGACTAGTTGATACAAAGATCTTAAAAGAAGGATATTCCATATATTATCTAACTTTTGGAAACCTTTTGTTTGTGTTTTTCTCTTTTCAAGGGAAAAATAAGTAAGGTTTTTTAGGTTTTAGACATAAAAAAAATTTCACTTTTGGAAAATGTATTGGATTCCTTAAGAAATCTAAAAATAAATAAGGGCATTTTTGTCCATTTTTGCTTCTTTTAAATTTTTTCTCTCTCCTTTTGCTTTTTCTAAAATGTCCCAAATAAGTAACAAAAATTAACTCATGCTATCAAAATTTACCTGTTATAGTTCATTCTTGCAAATC